ATATAATTTCTATCCATCAATGGACAGTTAGGTTGTTTCCATGTCTTGGCTATTATAAATAATGCTGCAATGAACATGGGGGTGCATGTATCTTTTTGAATTAGTGTTCTTATTTTCTTCAGGTAAATACCAAGAGGTGGAATAGCTGGGTTGTATATGGTAGTTCTATTTTTAATTTTTTGAGCAATCTACTTACTGTTTTCCATTGTGGCTGCACCAATTTATATTCCTACCAACAGTGGACAAGGATTCCTTTTTCTCCACATCCTTATCAACACTTGTTATTTCTAGCCTTTTTTTTTAAAGATTTTATTTATTTATTTGAGAGAGTGAGAAATATCAAGAGAGAGCATGAGTGGGGGGCGGGGGTTCGGTGTGCAGAGGGAGAGGGAGAAGAAGGCTCCCTGCTGAACACGGAGCCTGATGCTGGGCTCGATCCCAGGACCCTGGGACCATGACCTGAGCCAAAGGCAGACATTCAAACAACTGAGCCACCCAGGTGCCCCTCTAGTCTTTTTTATAATAGTTATTCTAACAATGTGAGGTGATACTTTATTATGGTTTTAATTTGCATTTCCCCAATGATTAATTACGTAGAGCATCTTTTCATGTACCTCTTAAGCACTATGTATTTTCAGGAAAATGCCTAGTCAGATCCTCAGCCCATTTTTAAATCAGGGTCTTGGATTTTTTTGCTATTGTATGGGTTATATGAGCTCTTTATATATTTTGGATGTTAGCCCCTTATCAGATATATGATAGATACATAGATATAGATAAGTAATCTATGTATATTTCAGTACCTACTTACCTGAGTATAAAATGTGTTTACCAGTTTACATCTATCATTTGTCTTTCATTGTTGTTCACTATATTTTGTCACACAGAAAACTTTAAGAAAAATCTTTATGCAAATAGTATATTGACACATTCTTGATCTGCAAGATCCAAACAATTCAGAAGTACATAGAGCAAATGTGAAAGTTCCCTTTCACTATCCTCCCCAGGGGTAACCATGCCAACAGACCAAAGGGCATCCCTTGAACTCCTTTTAGATGCTCTGCATACATTTAATAATCACACATAGTTTTTCCTCTGTTTTATAAAATGAACTACACTGTAAGATTGCTCATGAAGGGTTTTTTTTTTACTTAATTGTATTTTCTGGATGCCATTCCATGCTAATACATAGAAGTCTTTGTTGCTGTTGTTGTGTTTTTTTGTTTTTTTTTTTAAAGATTTTATTTATTTATTTGAGAGAGAGAGAATGAGAGAGAGCACATGAAAGGGGGGAGGGTCAAAGGGAGAAGCAGACTCCCCGCTGAGCAGGGAGCCCGATGCGGGACTCGATCCAGGGACTCCAGGATCATGACCTGAGCTGAAGGCAGTCGCTTAACCAACTGAGCCACCCAGGCGCCCTGTTGTTGTTGTTTTTAAGATTTTATTTATTTATTTGAGAGAGAGAGAGTGAGCGAGACAGAGAGTGAGCACAAGTGGGGGAGGGGCAGAGGGAGAGGGAGAAGCAGGCTCCGTGCTGAGCAGGGAGCCCGATGTGGGGCTCAATCCCAGGTCCCTGGGGCGAAGGCAGACAATTAACCGACTGAGCCACTCAGGCGCCCCTGGAGTCTCTGTTTTTAAAAATATTTTCCGAGTACAGGTCTACCACAATTCATTTGCTCTATTTAATATCTAGGTTGTTTCCAGAATAAAATATTTTTTTAAGTTGCTACAACTCTAAATCTTTTAAATCTCTATCCTTACTGCCATGCTAAGAATTTCTCCACCTCAGCATCATATACAATATTTCATCTTAGTACTGTTATAGTTTTTCACATGTATCTTGTAACTGGCCACCTTTTAAAATTTCTCTTCTTGGTTCCACTATTTTTCAGTTCACTCTCGGGTCCTCTAAAGGGCAGCAATCATGTTTCTGCAAATAACAATAATTTGTTTTTTCCTTTTTAATATTTATGACTCTCGGTTCTTTCCTTGTTTTTGCCCCCACCCCCACCCCACCCCCACCGCCATTGCCTAGATCTAGAACACCTATTTTAAAAGCTCATTTCCAGCTCCAATGTGCAATTAAATTTGGGGGAAAAGAGAGAAGTACCGCACCAGTTAAATAACAACTGTCAAGTTGGAAGAGAGGAAACAGTAGGTTGAAAGCCTGATTCAAAACTAATTATTTAATTCAGCCAAGGTGGCCACAGTGTACTTTGTGGGGCCAAGCTGGGGTTGGACGGAGGAGATGGCTTACGTGGAGGGAGATGGGTTACTATAAGGGGTCTGAGCAAATCAGTAAATGTATTGATGATGAGAGGGAGGTTTCTCATAGAAAAGAAGTTGTAAGTATAGAAAGGGGGAAGGCTAGAATCAATTCTGTGGTATAAGATTAGAACAGGACGCATCAGCGTGAGCTCATAGGTTTTAACATGCATTATTATCTACATGGATTGATCTAGAAATAAATATAAAGGTATGTGTGTACACTTACATATAAGCATGTACGTATGAATATACATATGTGTATTTCCTGACTCAGCCACTGAGAGACCCAAAAGGCAGTAACACCCTAACAGCAATGAGCACACCGGCGCCCAGATCTGGGTTGCTAAAGTCTCCACAAAAGGGAACCAGATCTAAAACCTCTCTCCGGGAGCCATCCCCCCTATGGTTATATAATCACAGGTTTAGAGGATGTCTGGGTCTGCTCATTCATATTACAGATAGAAACACTGAAACCCTATTTTTTTTCTTTTGGTATTGGCTTCATGATGGCTTTTTGAGGATGGGTGGTAGGCATGACATTTCTTTCTCTTTCCTGCTGGGAAAATTGAGGCATGAAGGCATTATACCTCTATTAAGAAAAGAACCAAAGAACTGAGCTTTCATTTTCCAACTTATGAGGTAAAAGCCACTTGGTCACACAGCTGAAGACTGTATATTATTAGCTCTTTTCACAATGAACAGCTTTTCTTTCTGAGTTACCAAGCAGATACTTCCAACATCCCCTTGGTGTATGATTCTACACAACAGATACCAGGTACGTTGGCTGGGGGATCTTGCCCGTGACCCTGGATCCCTGAAATGCTGAGAAAGCGTTCCTCTGCTTGAAAAGGCAAGATGGGTACTTACATTTTTAATGATCAGTGGGTATCTTGTTACCCGTTGCATAGGCTTCAGTATAAAACTGGAGAGAGGCATCCCTTTACATCGAGGGTCCATTGCCAGCCTCTGAAATGAGAGAGTTTTTTAAATGTCCTTAAGAAATCTGCAAAGTCCATTCAGGGACATCCGCTCCCCCCGCCCCATCACATTGTCTCATTTATCTGGACGAGAACAGAGGAGCCTGGCGTTGGAAGGGCCTGACTCGATATCCTGGTCCAGGACGATGGCGATTGGAGACCCACCCCCTCCCTGGGACACACAGTCCCTCCCTTACAGAGATGAGATTCTGGCTCTACAGAGAATATTTCTTCTGTATATCTGCCAGACCTTTTCAACAGCCCCGAGAGGAAGAAGAAACACGAGGCTGTAGAGTTAGAATAGAAACTCCCCTTAAGTCCCAGAGATGCCAGAGGGGCTGAATCTCATTGTCTCGTTCGGATGGAGCCCGCACACACCCGTGGGAGCCCCAGGCAGGTGGGGACAGTGGTGCTGAGACAGGAGGGGGGCAAAGGACTACAACCTCAAGTCTTGCGGGTTGTCCCCACCCTAGACCACCTGTCCCTTTTGTCAATTCAGCCAGAGGAAAGGGTCCTATCCCAAAAGATGATCCCGTCTGTAACTCACAGGGATTATGTGGTGACTCAGCTCTCAAAGGCACTGGCCAGGTTTAACACCTTAGAAACGGGCAGTTGCCATGACCTAGGCCCCAGGTCCTGGGAGGTGTCAGCTTCCCAACCTGCTCCTGCCATGGACATCATCATTCCAGGAACACCTCATACCTGGCAAAGGCGTGTCAAACCCCCACAAGGGTGAGGCGAGGAGAGGTGATGAGGGAGGGGAAACAGGCCCCCTGTCCTGGGTGGTGTCAGCATTTCCCTCAAGCTCAAGTGCATCCAGTGATGAATTCATCCTGCCTTGTGTCCGGGGAGGACCGGCCCTTGGCTGAAAGCCCAGGTGGCCCAGCATCTGCTCTCCAGTCTCTAGACCACCCTGGGCCTACTTTTTACCAATATTTCTCCCCTTCGAATGACTTTAGAATGCCCCCCCCCTCCCCATTCATCGGCTAACAAATCAAAGCATTTAATGTTGAGAAACACCAGGGGAAAAGGAAAGAACAAGCATGTGGGATGCTGCAATCAAGGAGAGATCTCACAATGATGATTCCACAAACGTGCTTAGTGGTGGGGGAGGGAATGGCCTGCCCCCAAGTGCACAAGGTACAAAGAGAAGCCTGCTGTTAGTATTATTGGTCTACTCACCAAAATGTAACTGAGGTTCCGCAAAAGTTATTTGATTCTTTCTCTGGGAGACACGGAGGCTGAGTGGACCAGTGGGGCCAGCGGGGACCTGCCCTGGCCAAGGCCAAGTCCCAAGGCCTGCAGCCCCCAGCAGCATGGGGCCCACCTCCTCAGATGTCCCTTGGGGGACACATGGCTCTCGAGACCCCTATTATCCCCCGAGGCAGAGGCCCTGGCATCCCACACTCACCCCCACACGCTTTTTAGAGCTCGAGGCCAACCACAAAAACCAACTGGAAAAGGAACAAAGGGTCCCTTGAGATTCCCGGCCATTCCCTCTGCAGCAAAGAACGGGGGGTGCTCAGACCAAACAGAATGGGGCACCTCAGATGCACCAGCCCCGCTGGGCCTGACAAATGAGATCGAAGATTTGAACCTGCATCCAAATAACACCGCTAACACGGGGACCACAGGTCAGCGTTTCCGGGTGCAGGCTGGCCCCTCCTCTCCAAGCCCAGCCCTTTGGTCAAAGCCCCACCTGCCGGCCCGCGGCGGGCCCCTAGTGCTCGGCCAAGACCTCGGCCCCACTGGCTGTTTTTAGCAGGAATATGCTGGCAGGCTTGAATTCGCTCCTCGCACACCCAGCTGCCCTGCGTCAGCCACTGAGGAGCCGGGACTTGGCTGAGCCTGGACTCCTTACTTTGACAAACTCCTTGAAGTCCGGGGCCTCGTCTGTCTTCTGCTGGATCAGGGCAGCTCCGTTGAGCTGACAGCTGCAGAAGCGAATGTAGGGCTGCATATGCAGCAGCTGGGCGGTCAGGATGTCGCCGATCATCTTCACGGGCATTTTCTCCCCTGACATCTTCTTGCGGACCCGCAGCGCTCTGCACGGGGACACGGGAAGTGAGCCCCCTGCCTTCACACTAGCCGCCGGTGACGGGGCGCACTTTGAGGCCATACAGAAACAGAACGTGTGGGAGGGGCACAAACCCAGGGCCACTAAAGGATCTACTGGGGGAGACAAGGAACAGAAAAGAAGCACGTCCGGTGCTACAGAGAGGTATCACCAGGGCAGTTTTCCTTGGCCTGATGGCTGTCTGCTGGTTCTTTTTTTTTTTTTAAAGATTTTATTTAGCGATTTGAGAGAG